TATATCATCAAGGTGGGAACGGTGTTCTCCGGCATACATACTGAGTACAAACATATATATCATCAAGGTGGGAACGGTGTTCTCCGGCATACATACTGGGTACAAACATATATATCATCAAGGTGTAAACAGTGTCCTACGGCATACATACTGGGTACTAACACATATATCATCAAGGTGGGAACGGTGTTCTGCGGCATACCTACTGGGTACAAACATATATATCATCAAGGTTGGAACGTTGTTCTCAGGCATACATACTGAGCACAAACATATATATCATCAAGGTGGGAACGGTGTTCTCCGGCATACATACTGGGTACAAACATATATATCATCAAGGTGGGAACGGTGTTCTCCGGCATACATACTGAGTCCAAACATATATATCATCAAGGTGGGAACGTTGTTCTCAGGCATACATACTGAGCACAAACATATATATCATGAAGGTGGGAGCGTTGTTCTCCGGCATACATGCTGAGTACAAACATATATCTCATCAAGGTGGGAACGGTGTTCTCCGGCATACATACTGGGTACAAACATATATATCATCAAGTTGGGAACGGTGTTCTCCGGCATACATACTGGGTACAAACATATATATCATCAAGGTTGGAACAGTGTTCTCCGGCATACATGCTGAGTAAAAACATATATATCATCAAGATGGGAACGGTGTTCTCCGGCATACATACTGGGTACAAACATATATATCATCAAGGTGGGAACGGTGTTCTCCGGCATACATACTGAGTACAAACATATATATCATCAAGGTGGGAACGTTGTTCTCAGGCATACATACTGAGCACAAACATTTATATCATCAAGGTGGGAACGTTGTTCTCCGGCATACATGCTGAGTACAAACATATATCTCATCAAGTTGGGAACGGTGTTCTCCGGCATACATACTGGGTACAAACATATATATCATCAAGTTGGGAATGGTGTTCTCCGGCATACATACTGGGTACAAACATATATATCATCAAGGTGGGAACGGTGTTCTCCGGCATACATGCTGGGTACAAAGATATATATCATCAAGGTGGGAACGGTGTTCTCCGGCATACCTACTGGGTACAAACATATATATCATCAAGGTGGGAACGGTGTTCTCCGGCATACATACTGAGTACAAACATATATATCATCAAGGTGGGAACGTTGTTCTCAGGCATACATACTGAGCACAAACATATATATCATCAAGGTGGGAACGTTGTTCTCCGGCATACATGCTGAGTACAAACATATATCTCATCAAGTTGGGAACGGTGTTCTCCGGCATACATACTGGGTACAAACATATATATCATCAAGTTGGGAATGGTGTTCTCCGGCATACATACTGGGTACAAACATATATATCATCAAGGTGGGAACGGTGTTCTCCGGCATACATGCTGGGTACAAAGATATATATCATCAAGGTGGGAACGGTGTTCTCCGGCATACATACTGGGTACAAACATATATATCATCAAGGTGGGAACGGTGTTCTCCGGCATACATACTGAGTACAAACATATATATCATCAAGGTGGGAACGGTGTTCTCCGGCATACATACTGAGCACAAACATATATATCATCAAGGTGGGAACGGTGTTCTCCGGCATACATGCTGAGTACAAACATATATATCATCAAGTTGGGAACGGTGTTCTCCGGCATACATATTGGGTACAAACATATATATCATCAAGTTGGGAACGGTGTTCTCCGGCATACATACTGGGTACAAACAAATATATCATCAAGGTGGGAACGGTGTTCTCCGGCATACATACTGAGTACAAACAAATATATCATCAAGGTGGGAACGGTGTTCTCCGGCATACATACTGGGTACAAACATATATATCATCAAGGTGTAAACAGTGTCCTACGGCATACATACTGGGTACTAACACATATATCATCAAGGTGGGAACGGTGTTCTGCGGCATACCTACTGGGTACAAACATATATATCATCAAGGTTGGAACGTTGTTCTCAGGCATACATACTGAGCACAAACATATATATCATCAAGGTGGGAACGGTGTTCTCCGGCATACATACTGGGTACAAACATATATATCATCAAGGTGGGAACGGTGTTCTCCGGCATACATACTGAGTCCAAACATATATATCATCAAGGTGGGAACGTTGTTCTCAGGCATACATACTGAGCACAAACATATATATCATGAAGGTGGGAGCGTTGTTCTCCGGCATACATGCTGAGTACAAACATATATCTCATCAAGTTGGGAACGGTGTTCTCCGGCATACATACTGGGTACAAACATATATATCATCAAGTTGGGAACGGTGTTCTCCGGCATACATACTGGGTACAAACATATATATCATCAAGGTGGGAACAGTGTTCTCCGGCATACATGCTGAGTAAAAACATATATATCATCAAGATGGGAACGGTGTTCTCCGGCATACATACTGGGTACAAACATATATATCATCAAGGTGGGAACGTTGTTCTCCCGCATACATACTGAGTACAAACATATATATCATCAAGGTGGGAACGTTGTTCTCAGGCATACATACTGGGTACAAACATATATATCATCAAGGTGGGAACTGTGTTCTCCGGCATACATGCTGGGTACAAAGATATATATCATCAAGGTGGGAACGGTGTTCTCAGGCGTACATGCTGGGAACAAACATATATATCATCAAGGTGGGAACGGTGTTCTCCGGCATACATGCCCGGTACAAACATATATATTATCAAGGTGGGAACGGTGTCCTACGGTATACATACTGAGTACAAACATATATATCATCAAGGTGGGAACGGTGTTCTCCGGCATACATGCTTGGTACAAACATATATATCATCAAGGTTAGAACGGTGTTCTCCGGTATACATACTGAGTACAAACATATATATCATCAAGGTGGGAATGGTGTTCTCCGGCATACATACTGGGTACAAACATATATATCATCAAGGTGGGAACGGTGTTCTCCGGCATACATACTGAGTACAAACATATATATCATCAAGGTGGGAACGGTGTTCTCCGGCATACATACTAGGTACAAACATACATATCATCAAGGTGGGAACGGCGTTCTCCCGCAGACATACTGGGTACAAACATATATATCATCAAGGTGGGAACGTTGTTCTCCGGCCTACATACTGAGTACAAATATATATATCATCAAGGTAGGAACGGTGTTCTCCGGGATACATAATAGGTACAAACATTTATAGCATCAAGGTGGGAACGGTGTTCTCCCGCATACATACTGGTTACAAACATATATATCATCGAGGTGGGAGCAGTGTTCTCCGGCATACATACTGGGTACAAACATATATATCATCAAGGTGGGAACGGTGTTCTCCGGCATACATACTGAGTACAAACATATATATCATCAAGGTGGAAACAGTGTCCTATGGCATACATACTGGGTACAAACACATATATCATCAAGGTGGGAACGGTGTTCTCCGGCATACCTACTGGGTACAAACATATATATCATCAAGGTGGGAACGGTGTTCTCCGGCATACATACTGAGTACAAACATATATATCATCAAGGTTGGAACGTTGTTCTCCGGCATACATACTGAGCACAAACATATATATCATCAAGGTGGGAACGGTGTTCTCCGGCATACATACTGGGTACAAACATATATATCATCAAGGTGGGAACGGTGTTCTCCGGCATACATACTGAGTACAAACATATATATCATGAAGGTGGGAACGGTGTTCTCCGGCATACATACTGCGTACAAACATATATATCATCAAGGTGGGAACGTTGTTCTCCCGCATACATACTGAGTACAAACATATATATCATCAAGGTGGGAACGGTGTTCTCCGGCATACATACTGGGTACAAACAGTGAGAAATGTTGCTCTTAATGTTACCACAGGTTCGGACATTCTTTTTGTAATTTTAATACTTAGAGAATTCTATAATGGTAAAATGTCATACTTGAGGAAGTAAGTTATTTTTCTTAGCTCTTGGAAGCAACATTCCACATTCAAACTGCCTGACTTAGGAAAATAATAGATTGGCGTAGAGGCACAAAACACTTTTACAAATTGAGGAAACATGGGTTTTTACAATCCTGGAACATGATTGTCACAAAACACCTTTGATATTCATAAGAAATCTCTGCCAAAAACAGAGCCGATTGTACGATTCAGACAATATCATGAGCATGTGTTTATGAATCACTATCAAATAGTGATGATACCAGGTGTTCGCGAAACTATGAGCACATCCTGCCCCACCGATTCAACCCATCACAAACGCATGCAAAGGCATGTCAATTATTCACCTGAAAAAAGAATCATGTTCACAGGAGCAAACTGATTCCAACTTTTCCGAGCAGATGGAAGATTTTTTGTCAGTGGAGATGACATTTCTTTACATGCACGTAGAGGCCGAGTTTTTTATTAACATAAAATATTATGACCTGTGTTATTTTTTTCAAACAGATCCTGTCCCGAGTTTCGAGATCCATAGCACCCTTCCTGAACTGTGGTTCTCATGCAATCACTGATCCTCCGATATTTCCACTAGCAATTCATGTGAAGTGAACTAAATCATATTCCTTGCAAAGTCAAACGGTTAACGCTGACATGTGAATTTCTAATATAGGATTTTAGTAAATTGGCTTGTTTGTTGGATCCACCATAAAGTATTGTAAGAGATGTTGAATATGTACTGTCTGTGAACGTACACTATATTTGTTTGAGTGTGTTTCGCGTCCTCCTGTTTACAATACAAATTCACAGACGTCAGAAGTAGTCCGTGTATCAAACACAATATTCTGATGAATCTGTTAGTCATGTTTGCTGTTATGACGCCACATGTACACACAGGAAGTACTTATAGAGTATCTGTTTCCCTGAGCTCGCTTTCGGCCAAACACTTGACTCGGGCCATGGTATATATATCTCGCATCAGTGCAGCCGTATACAGTAAACTGCGCCATGGAGACGGTATCCATTGCAATAGTCATCGGTCTTGTGTCGATGTGTGGTGTCAGTGACGTACATGCTGACACCAATTTGACAGCTTTCACTGGCCAACCGAGGCTACTAGAGGGAGAGATCAACGCATGGAACAAAACAGCTGTTTATCTTGAGACTAAAATGAATAATACATTTAGCACTTTGGATTCATCACTGAAAGAGAGACTGACTAACACGTTCATTCCTTCCTTGATGAAGGCTCTCGTGAAACAAGCGATTACTGGCATTCTGAAAGAAGGTTACATTGAGGATATTATTAGGGGACGTGATCTGGATGAAGTCAACAGCCTGAAAGCCAATGTACACAACACGAAGACACAACTTCAGGCAGTAAAACAACAGTTCAGACATGTTGAACGAGAAGGAGACACTTTCAAAGAGAGTGTTGTAAAACTATGTGGCGAGCTGACCGAAGACATCCATGGTTTACAGCTGCAGCTGAATGAGACGGTAGCTGGTCTTTGTGATGCAAAGATAGTGAACACTGCTATAAGACAAGCTGTGAATACAAGCTGTGTGAAGATGAACCAAGCTACTGAAAAACTCACCAATGATAACAAGTCATCCAGGGTGGGCTTGCGGGGAATGCAGCAAAAGTTCAGTGCTGACATTCAGAGTTTAAACAATCAATTAAATCAGACCATTAATGATCTGCATGATTCAAAGCAAAGAATCACTGGTCTTACAGAGGACATTATGGCACTTAATACAAGCTGTGTGATGAGAGAAGGGATTAAAGAGAATGATGTTAATGAAACGTTGCTGTCTACATCGCCCCCTATGTTTCCTGGTGCTTCAGGAGGTGAGACTTTTAGCAGATATTTCTTATGATTATGGAAACGGTTTTGTGGCTGAATTTACAACCGTCTCTCTTTACATGCCATGCGATAGATGTATGAAATATATTATTTCCTTTGAAAAAAAGGATAAATGTATGTCTTGAATTTCAAACAATCAATCTAATGCATGCAAAGGATATGCCTTCTTCTGCCTTTAGAAATGTGTCTTAACTTTCTATGCATAAATGTGGAGACCGTAAATTAAGCTCATTTAAAACATTGTATGTAGCATTTAAAATGACAACATACTTACATAGCATTTTGACATAGGGTTTACTTGGCATGTCGACTAGGGTTAACAGTGTATGTTGACATAACATACAGAGCATATCGAAATAGGGTTTACGGGACATGTCAACATAGGGTTTACCGGACATGTCAACATAGGGCTTACTGAGCATGTCGGCAAAGAGTTGATTGGGCATGTAAGCATAGGGTTTCCAGGACATGTCATGATGGTGTGTATTGGGTACATCAACGTGTGGCTTACAGATTTACATGTCTCGCTTGAAATAATTTTGTACCTTGGACATACACCGTCAAGCAGCAATAATTGGGTTAACGATTGTCTGTATGATGGAATTTAAAACATGTTGGGAGCTACGTGTATATATTAGTGTTGAGATGAAATGTCTCGCCATACCCAAATCAGTCCGCAAAGATGCCAACCCTAACTGAAGATATGCCAACCCTAATTGTTTTGTTGAATATTCAGTGGGGTAAAAAACGGGTAATTTCTTATGACAAAGGGTAATGTTGACAGAAATGTTGGCTTCCTATAATCTATTGAGGACTTGTGAAGATTGTGAAGATTTAGTTGTATTAGTGAAGATGGTTTGTTGTCATCTGTTATAACAATCTGGCAATACATTAATCATACACACTTCATAACCGGTCACAATGAATGAAGAAATGCTATTTAGATATAGAAATAACACATCTCAAGTCGTCGATAATTATATAGTGAGCGTGCCGGTGTCACGAAATATACGAAATATATTCGCCCCAAGAATAAAACCCTAACCCCCCCACCCCACCCCCCACCCCCCCACCCCCACCCCCCCCCCCCCCCCCCCCACCCCCCCGCCGAATTTATACCGGTATAGTTCCGCCCCTCCTCGAAATAAACTCTCCCCCACCCTACGAAATCCAATCTCCCCCCAGAATATTTCCTCCCCCGGTCGTTTTATAAATACTTGCCATGCAGTTGCCAATAGTTTTAATGTTAATTTGTTTACATTTAGTTACTCTTTTTATTGATTTTGAGGGTGTGGAAGGGGGGTTTGGGGGTTGGGGTGGGTGGGGTGTGGTCCAACCTTTCCTTTCGTTTTTCATAATAATATATTTTTAAGTTGTATATAACGTATATAACGTCAGATTACTTTATCTCAGTTCTATATGACGTACTATTTTACTTCCCTGTGTCGTTCTTATATTCTCTTCAGTGTGAGATTAAACTGTATCATTTTGACTATTTTGATATTTTGCAATATGTTGTGGTCATCAGTTATACAAATCAGTTTCGGTGTGTCTTTTTAACAAGATGTTCTTCATTAATATTCACCGCCAGCCCCATTGTAACACTTACATGTACACTTTGCTTTGACGATGCCGGTTGACGTTGTTCAATACAGGTGTTTTTTAATCTATTCTACATGCTAATCATTTCGGGAAGTTGAAACCCATTTACCTATATTTTGGGTTACTTTGCTTATAACGATTATACATATAAACGTACGCAGTCTTAGTAGATTTTAAAGTAAATTTAATCAGTGCTGAATTAGATAGTTATGATGTTGTATGTTTAACAGAAACCTGGTTGCACCATGATATTCTAGCCACTGGTATTACACTGATACCATTTTCAAATCGTAGCCTGTTGTCAAATGTTGGCTTGTGTTGGGTCCGACTTTGCCTGGACTGTCAAAATCCACTTTAAACACACAGATGTATCATTAAATGTGTTTACTTCTATAGACAAGCCGAACACTTCCGATAGAGACGATGTTGAGAATGTGGAGTGAAAGGGCTTCACTTTGAGCACTGCGCTTTCTTTAACTACCGCAATATGTGACAATCACGTGGTATATAGGTAGATATATTACTAGTCGTTAGATATAAAGAATGTTTATTACCTTTAGAAGTTCTAGCACAGTTATTAACACGTGTCATGTCAGCCCTATGACATTCGCGATTGTCCACTTCCAGAAAACATCCTGTGTTGGTTTAACATATAAAGGTTAATTTAGGGATGCCCAACACGTTAATTAAAGAAAGACGAGTAGTCAAAACACTGTCATTTCCTGCCCAGGACATCTCACCCCTACACGCTAAGGTCGGTGAGAAACATTCTCATCAAAGAAAACACACAGTCAAGACACTAACTTTTCTACGAGGACTCACGGAACATTTTCTACCCCGAACTATATATTTATATAGACTTGTCATGCAGTTCAACAATTGTAATTTTCTAAAACTGCTTTTGCTATGTGGTGTCTTTGTGGTTTTTTTGATGGAGAATATTAGCTTCTGAACAAGTTTTACTTGCGTGCACGTATAAATTTAAGTGAGTTAGTTCAGTGGATTTCTTGTTTTTGTAAGCAAAAGCAGTATTTAGGCAATTCACTGGAACCTAAACTTAAAACGGTACTAACTAGAGGTATTAAAATTAAAATGCCAATTAAGGGAATGTAAGTGGTACAAAAGTGTCCTATTTGTAGATTCTCAAGGGTTAGCTACCAACCTAACATAAATGAACTGTTTGGATATGCGCGGTTTTACCAACTGCTAGCCCCTAGCGGTTTGCAGTTGGTGAAACCGCGCCAAACCGCGCACATGGAAAATAAGTCGCCGAACTTTTAAGCATAGTTTTTGTATATAGCATTTCACCCGCCTTCCTAAACGTGCCCCAAACCGCGTGGCAAACCGCGCACATGGAAACTCAGCCTTAAGGGAGGCGGCTTTTACATAAGCCAGTAAAGTTTGTTTGTCAATCCCCATTCATATATTTATGTATAAAACTCTGTTGAAACAAAATACATTGAAAAGCCTGGTTTGTTGGCATTAAAATCTAAACAACGTAATCTGTAATTAAAATGTGTAAGGTGTTAAAAGCTTTGACATAAAAGAGCAAAATACATGGGGGAGAGTAAATACATAATTCAATATAATTTTCTTGAATGGAGCACATTTGAGAAAAAAGGATAATCCAAGCATATGCGATATTATCGTGTTGAAAGAATTTATATCAGTCATATATTTCTAACTTAGATCACCGGTATGTAACCCAGGTAAAGCATGCATATCGGGGAACACTGTAATGGTACAGTTTATCATGTCTTCGGCTTTAGCATTACACATTGGCTTTTCATATTCCTCAAGATTTTAATGTTTATTTGTTTATGTACTTTTTTATTTATTTTTTTTCTCTCCTTTATTTTTTCTGGGTTAAATATTTATCTAAATATACATTTAGTTACTTGTATGTGTGGGGGTGTTTAACAGAAACCTGGTTGCACCATGGTATTCTAGCCACTGATACCATTTTTTAAATCGTATAGCCTGTATTAAGGAATATATTTTAGATCTTGAATCAGAGTATAACGGACAGCCTGAACAGGTGGCGTGCATGGATATGTTGACAGTTTTTAAGTAGTTAGTGTTAAAACCGAATGTTTGCGAGGATTAATAAGATTTCTGAATTCAGTTACAACATTAATCGTTCATGTATTTGTTACATTAAGTCATTTCATTCAAATTTGTTTGTCATGATATATATCTAATAATTATTTTAGGAAGGAAGGTACAGTTACCAAATAAAATATACTGAAATATCAATTCATTTTGACCATATTTCATAATCGATTTTTAAAAGCAAGCCTCCTTACATTAAAGATATCTATTTAAAGAATATAGTACTTAAAGACATTGCAACAAACCGAATAATCAGGGGGGGAGACTTTATACTGAGGGGGGCGCGAAATATATCCGCCCGGGGGAGAATCTGTATCGGTATAAACTCTCCGGGGGGAGAATTTGTACGGGGTAGAGTTTATACCGGGACACCGGGACCAAAGGAAGGTCTCTCTACATGAGGGTACCTTTCTATTTAAATGTTTCTACTTAACGATAATTCACTGTATGTTTATTTCATCTGATATGTTTGCGCAAATAACTGACTCTGACAATTCCGAAAATTCAGATGGGGCTCTCAATACCCAGGCACATAGGGTAACGTCGGAATGAATACTCCCACCAATATTCATTACAATTTAGAAAAGAGCGCGTGACTCAGATAAGAACAAGAAAAGTTGCGTTCTACTTAAGCTTCTTTTACATGCATTCTCTATACTACAAACGCATTTTTGTGCAAGTAGAATGAATATTTAATAATCAATGACATATCAATTACATATATTTTAATTTTCATGCATCTGAAACGTTTTGGTGGAGACAGGAAACATCATTAACACTTCTAACACTGAAAGTAGACATGATACACCAACCCTGTGCTTCATTAACACCTCGTGGTTGAAGCCATTTGTTTACATCTTTTAACAAGACAACTTCTCTATCAGTCCCTTGTCATAGGTTTGGAGATAAACCGGCTTCACGACAAGTACCCTACAAAGAAATATCAGAGATTAAGTTGAACACATACCGGCATAAATTATTAGCGAAAGGAAATACGTGCCTCCGTCTGTTGTCTAGTTCTAAAAGCGATGTTAAGTTACTTAAATAATTCAAATATCCTCACTGAATCTAATCGCTGACAACTATACTTACATCTGGTGTCAATCATCTCGAGCATCTCACTCTTCTTCCACTCGATTTGCGAGCGCATCATGTCATGACACGTTCAACGCACAGTGATAGAGCAAAAAGAATATTGCAGGTTACCAAATAATTTACAGGAATGTGATTGACTTTGTGCATGTGAGGCGGAAAAGCTTGCAATACAGTC